TGTGCTACTCTTCTGTTTATTTACATATTAAAAGCAAAAAATCGAAAAGGAAATGGTGCAAGAAGTGGCTCCTGAACAGAAGCCGTGATACCCACATCAATTTGATGAAGGATCTTTCCCTTGAACCCACTGATTGGAGGAACTATTTAAGGATGGATGAAACGTCTTATTTATTCATTTTATTTAGTGTTCTATTGACCAAATTACTTCTTTCAATTATTTAATCTTTTTTGTAAGGTTTTGATTGAAATGAAAAAGCTATTGCCACGAGCGGAATTTGAATCCATGGCCTTCGGCTAAATACGCCGCTGCTCTACCACTTGAGCTATCGTGACTTCGATCCTCTCCGCCACCAAAAAATGGCAAAAGAGAAAAAATTCAAAAGGTTGTACGTTGAGGTGGGGAGTTGGTGCCCGAGTGGATCGAACTATCGAAGTCAGGATAGCTCAAGTGGTTAGCGCAGCGGCGTATTTAGCCGAATGTCGTGGATTCGAATCCCCTCGTAACACTATTTTTTCATTTCAACCAAAACCTTAGAAAAAAAGATTAACGTCTTATTTATATTTACTCCAGCTTGTTACCCCCTTGATTAGAAAACAAAAGACAGCCATGAGAGAAATCATCACTACATGAAAGGTTGGCAACCACATTACGATTTCTCGCTACAGGGATGAACTATAAAGAACTTAAGTTCTCTACTACGATTTCTGATCATTGTTAGGGGTTATCAATACCGCATCTCTCATTGCATTTGTATCCTTTGTTTTGAAAACGACCAACTGGTTGAGGATCGAATTTCTTTTATTTCTATCGTGGTAATCATTGTCCACCATTTTCCATAAACATGGTAAACTTTCATACAATTCAATCACCTCAACAATAAAATCTCGATTGGATGTCATTACCAATAAAGAATAAACGCGCCGTAGATATTTGGAGTGGTGCGATGGAGTTTGGACCGGTCGAATATTCGACACAGCCGGGCACGCCAGTTCAGTTTTGCCATTGACGTGGGTTTTGGAACGGCATCGCTCCGTTTGGACTGCTAGGAGCGATCGTGAATGGCCACCTTAAGCAATCGCCGTTTCAATCCATATTCAACTCATATTCAGAAACACGGCTCATCAAACATAACAGCATTCTCATTGGTGTTCTCTTCTAGGCGCTCGCTGCACTATATCCTCCTGAGTTGGTAGCGGGCTGTTGCTGCAGGTCGTCTTAAAAGAGCATACGATGTGAGACCAACTTGCCACAATCAATTTGTGTTGATAAAGGCCTTGCCAAAACGTCTTGTACTTTATTTAGGAAATGGCAGGCACTATGGAAAGGGGGTCGGCCTAAAGCCCGGGATTTCCTTTTCTCAGGACGCCAACTGCCTCTGCGATATCCCCTTTCCGGTAACCTCAATGACTCATTCTCACAATAAAATTGAGAACTTTTGATACAAGATGTTTTTCCTTTGTTAAAGAGATTACAACTGGGTACAACAAAGAGGGTACCACGGAGGAAAGACGAATAAATGTAGGTTTACTAATTAACTGTTAATTTAATTAAAATGAATAAAATAAGAATAAACTACAAATATTCCTATTCATTTTTGCGCAGTTTATAGAGGTCTTTTTTTAGGTTGTTACGATAAAAGATACAAAATAGGAAAACCCGAGGTTTGACATTTAGCTCCCCTTTTCCGTTTGCAGGCTGATAGATCTTTTTTATTAAACGTCATTATTAGCTCAGACAAATGTCGTAGTTTTGCCGAAAGGCAATTGGATGGGGCTGCACGATTATGAGGAGTCGTTAAGTTGGTTACGGGTGACGCACGTCAATTAATGGGACACAGGGTTCGGACACAAAAGGGAAGCTGTCGACGGCTGGTCGCGATCTGCAGAACAGTCGCACATGCCCTGCTGCCACATGGCCGGATAAATGTAGTTTTACGCTCATGTTCCAATTTCCGCAATTGTATCATTTTAGATACTTTGTGTTGACAATTTTTTTTTTTTATTTTTTTTTTATTACAATCTGCAATTATTATTTACAACATGTAATTTGCGGATACAACTATTTACATTGAGGGGAGAAAATAGTCAGTGCTATCCTCCCTCTTCACTTTGTTTTTTGTTTTTTTTCAGTTCACTCGGAAAGGAGGTCGCGGGGCCATTTCCTCTTAAGACGCCTTATGGGGTTGTAGGGATGGGTTCTATCGGGCAAGACTATTTGGATGGTGGGAAAGTTTTTTGTGAAAGTTGGTAAATTTTTGGGGAATAAATTTTTGGATATAAGGAATTTGAAGGTCGTTGTGGAGGGTAGCATTGGAGACATAATAAGGAGCATTTACAATGGATCTGAGGACTTTAGATTGAAAGGATTGGAGGCGTTGGATATTGGAAGGTTTAGCGGTTCCCCACAGTTCTATCCCGTACGTCCAAATCGGTTGTAGTAATGTTTTGTAAATTGTAAGTTTGTTTTTTGTCGATAGTTTAGACTGTCGTCCTATGAGTCTGTGCAGTAGACCATACCGTCTGTTTAGGTTTTGTCGTGTCAGTCGTGTATGTTGATTCCACGTTAGTCGTGAATCTAGGTGGAACCCAAGGTAGCGAACGCAGTCGGATTTGGGGATGGGGACGTTATTGTAGTATATAGTGAGAGGAGGTTTGCTTCGGAGTGTAAATGTGACATGGACGCTCTTGCTTTCGTTTATCTTCATTTTCCATTGTCTACACCAATCTGCTATACATGATATATGTTCCTGCAGATCTTCCGAAGCAACCGCAGGATCGGAATTGGAGGATAGTACGGCTGTATCATCGGCGAAGGATGCAAATAGGGTGGTAGGTTTAGTGGGAATATCTGCAGTGTAAAGGATGAAGAGGATTGGTCCGAGCACACTGCCCTGCGGTACTCCCGCGGCCAGAGAGCAGTATTCGGAGTAATCTGATCCTTGTCGGACCCGAAAGAACCGCTCTGTTAGATAAGGGCGGAGGATTAGGTAAAGAGTATTTGGAAGGACACGCTTTAGTTTGTACAGGAGTCCCCTGTGCCACACGCGGTCAAACGCTTGTGCCGCATCAAGGAAAGCTCCCATACAATATTCTTTGCGCTCGAGGGAGGAGGATATACGGTCAACAACGCTAAACACTTGCTGGACTGTGGAATGGTGGGGGCGGAAGCCAAACTGATGATCGGGGAGGAGGTTAGACTTTAGTTGTGGCAATAGCCGTTTAAGGAGAATTTTTTCAAATACTTTGGACATGATGGGAAGTAAACTAATTGGTCGATAAGATGAGGATTTTTGAGCTGGTTTGCCAGGTTTCAGGAAGAGGATGATGTTGGAATATTTCCAAAGTAAGGGAAAATGGGTAGTGCGGAGTATACAATTGTAGAGGTATGTGAGGAATATAATGGCTTTTTTAGGGAGTTGTTGGAGAATTTGGGATGTTATCAGGTCAAAACCAGGAGCTTTGCCTTTCGGTAGACGAGACAGGATATTGTTGTGTTGTGTTGACAATTAGGAAGATTCTTGAATTTTTTTTACAAGCTTGCACAGAAATATGACTATAATATACACTGCCCATCAAAAAACACAGACCACCTGGTTGCTGCATGAAAAAATGACCAACTTTGGAAATTCATATTTTCTCAGTCTTTTAAGTCACAGACCCGCGCAAGATCTCATTTTGTAGAAAATTTTACGCTGAATAAGATGGCTTTTTTAAATTCTTTCCCAGCTTCAGTCATTCAACAGTAAAATCAAAACACGTGTTCAACAAACGTTCATTTTTGCAATTTTACAAAAACTTCTTATTGAGCTATGGTGCCAGGAAATAGTGCTGGAGCAGCTCCCTATAGAAATCGATGATTAATCTTAATAAGCTTTTAATGAGACTCTTCCATTTTGCCCGATTTCTCACCCCTTTTCGAGTTATATTATTTTTGGGCAAAAACGTGGGTTTGTTTTTCGTGCTCATGGAAAAAACCGATCACTCTATCCTGATTTTGACCATATATAAACCCATACGTTATTCAAAGCCTAACTGCCACAACACCGTGAAATGGTAAGGAAAAGTTGATTTTCCATGATGAGATAAACAAATGGTTGTCGACAGCCGAAATATTCCCTAAACAAAAGGCTGAAAAAAATATACATTTCTAAAATTGGTCATTTTTTCCCACAAAAACAAGATGGGCGGAGTATTTATACTGCAGTTTAATATGGTTTTCGTTCGTGTATGAACTCATTACTATCAATTAAATCTTCTAGAGAAAGGTGATAACAATATTGACAAATTAGTTTTCAAGTGCACTATGAATGAATTAAACATAATTAATTACACGATAGCTTAAGGGGTAAGAGCAGCGGCGTATTGAGCCAAAGGTCATTGGTTCGAATCCCTCTCGTGACTCTAGCTTTTTCAACTCACTCAAGACCTTAGATAAATGTATAATTAATTAAAATAATTACTATGTCAATTATGACTAATAAATACATATGTGGATTAAAATAATAATTACAGATGTACTTGCTTCGCTAACAGCTCACCAAGTCACCGAGAATCCTGATTACACGATATGTGAATTGTGATCAAAAGAGGGAAAATTTGCCAGGTTGTAGGTTGAGATGGGGAGTTGATGTCCGAGTGGATCGAAGTCACGATAGCTCAAGTGGTAGAGCTGCGGCGTATTTAGCCGAAGTCCGTGGGCTCGAATCCCGCTCGTGACACTAACTTTTTTTATCTCTACCAATACGGGAGCCAGTTGCGGACGCAGTCCATTATTGGCCAGTTTTAGGGATTAGGGCGCAAGGGAATGGGTCAGCGTTTAAACGGAAACAAAATATTTTCGCTAATTACTTTGGCGTAAATAATAAATAATTTCTTATCCTTAATAAAAATAATAAATAATAATTGAATAATATTTGTACTTTATACCTGTATTCAAGAACCTGTTCCCTTGAGTTGACGTCACTAAAACGTCATGATGCCTTAACGGCGGAAGGTTATTTTTCAAACCGTTTATATTGTTTTGTTTACATGCTGAAGTAACTTTGTGCTGAGTCTTCTGAATATTCGGCTTTTAAAATGTCGGAATATAGTTTTGTCAAAAAGGGAAAATTGGTGCTTAAAGGAGAAAAATCCGAGTAAGTTTAAATTATTCTTGTTTGTATAAAATGCTGGAAGACGATAGTGCCTCACAAGTAAGGCCTCTCCTCAACTTCCTTTTCAACAAAAGCTGATTAACTTATTACTGTTATATGTAATGAATATTTATCTTCTGTTCTGAAAGAAAGAAAAAGAAAAAGAAGAAGAAAGATAAGGATAGGAAAATCAACGACAATGAAGAGACACAGAACGACGAAGACAGGAGTGCACATGGTACTTAATATTCGTCATTTCAACATCAGAAATATATTTACAATTGTATTTCTTTCCAAAGGTGGCTGGGGAAAGGTGTTTTCTGTGAAAGAGATAATCGGTCCGGTTGCAATTGAGTTTGTCACAGGGACTTACGTTAAAGCTTTGGATAACGGGCTGTTCACGTTGGGAGCACCTCATGATCACGGTAGTATTATTTTTCACAACGTAAAGTTTATAAACTTTTTGACTTTTTGTGTTTTAGGTGAAGGTCCAGCCCCTGAAGAAATATTAACAGCTGTCCCAGTGAATGAGACAAAAGTCGCTTTTAAATCGGGCTATGACAAGTACCTCGGAGTTAACAAAAATGGTATCGTTACTGGACGAGCGGATGCGATCGGTCCCCTTGAACAATGGGAGCCTGTATTTCAAGTAATATACTCTGTTTCTTAATAATAATATAAATGGATAAACAATCTCAACAATTTTTAAGGATGGAAAAATGGCCCTTCTTAGCTCTTCGAACTGCTTCATGTGCCTGAAAGACGAAGATGACTCAATCGCTGCTTTGAATACGACCGCAGGGGAAAAAGAGATGCTCTCTATAAGATCACAAAAAGAAAAAGTAGCCAGGGTGGCGCCAGACATGCCATCAGAGGAGATGGGTTCAGTTAAGGAAATCGAACGCAACTACGTGTAAGTCAAACTGCTAAAAGTTTAACTTTTTATTATTTGGGAAGATTTTCACTTACATCAGCCTTATCCTATCAGGATTTATTTATACAGTAAAATCTTGATATTTCATAACAAAGGCCCCCTTGAAAAAGAAAAAAGTATGCCTGTCATAGTCTGTCAGTCAAATATCTTCGGGTGATACTGCACTATAAACTATTGGGTTGTCCGGAAAATAATGCAGGATTTTGGTATTAAACAAAAAAAAAGAAACTAGTTACTTTAAAGCAATGTTCTTTAATCAAAATAATTTCCCATACTCTCAATACATTTCTCCCAACGTGTTGGTAACTTATTAATTCCGTCTGGGTAGAATTCAGAATTTTTAGAATTGATAAAGTCAATAAATGCATTTTCCAGTTCCGTTTGATTTTTGAATATTATGTGTTGTAAGTAGTGGTCCAGGTGTCTAAAAAAATGGTAGTCAGTAGGCGAGAGGTCCGGAGAGTAGGGTGGGTGAGGCAAAGTTTCATAGCCAAGCTCCAATAATTTTTGTGACGTTACACGTGACACATGTGGTCGAGCGTTGTCATGCAACAAAATGGGCCCTTTCCGATTGACCAAAGAGGGCTTCATTACTGCCAATTTCTGATGCATGGTATTAATTTGGTTACAGTATGATTCAGCATTGATGGTTTCGCCAGGATTTAAGAAGCTGTAGTGTATTAAACCAAATGAAGCCCACCATACCGTAACCATTACCTTTTTTTGATGAGTTGGGGGCTTTGGAGCTTCTCCTTTGTCGAGCCACTGTCCAGAACGTCTAGTGTTATCGTAGAGAATCCACTTTTCGTCACATGTAACAATTCTGGCCAGAAATGGGTCATTTTTGTTTCGACAAAGAAGTGATGCACAAACATCAAAGCGCTGATTTTTTGGCGATCGTTTAATGAGTGTGGAACCCAATTTTCGAGTTTTTTCACTTTTCCAATCGCCTTGAGGTGGTCAGCGACGGTCGTTTTACTGACTTTGAGTTGCTCTGCAAGTTCTCGAACAGTTGTTTTGGGGTTTTCTTCCACCACTGATCGCAGAACATCATCATTAAGAGAGGAAGGCCTTCCACGACCTTCTTCATCTTCAAGGCTGAAATCTCCCTCCCGAAATTTTTTAAACCACCTTTGCACAGTGCACTCATTAACACAACCCTCGCCCCAGACTTGGTTAATGTTTCTAGCCGTTTGGGCTCCGCTTCGGCCGAGTTTAAACTCGTAAAAGAAAATCGTACGAAATTCTCGCTTTGACATTATAAGGATGACTGAATTATTTCCAAGTAGCGGAATGCTACAGAGGTAAACAAACAATATCATTTGGAAGAGGATTAATACAAATGAGTAATCCTGTAAACGTAAACAGAATATTTTATATAGATTTTTTTTAATGAAAACTTAAAATCCTGCATTATTTTCCGGACAACCCAATATCTTTTACTCCCCATGGTAAAGCAAACAAAGGCAGAGCGTGTACGTTTTTCTCTGCTCTGCCTCCAGTTTATCTTGTCGCCTGCCAATAAACTTCTTCTGTCAGGCCGATGCTCCTATATGCTTGCCTCTACTGGGGCTTGACAAGCAGGAACAAGTTTCTAAAGCTAGCAGCAGACTCACATCGATATAAGCACATATCGGAAACAGTGTTGGGCAAAAATTAGTCATGTCTAATGATTAATGATTGATCACTCAGACCATTAGTCATGATTGGTAGTAAGTAGCTAATTTAGTCATTAGTCACATATGTGATTGATGGCTAAATTAGTCATGACTAGTAATTAAATACGAGGCATGACTAATTTAGTCGCCATATGTGATTGATGGCTAAATTAGTCATGACTAGTAATTAAATACGAGGCATGACTAATTTAGTCACAATATAGTTAGTCATGACTAAATGAAAAATACACAACTTCATCACATTTAAAAAAAATTTTCTAACAGAAATTTATTTCATCAAAACGAAAATCCTTCAACACCATATTTAACAAAAATCAATATTCCAATTATAAGTAAAACTATGTCGTTAAGAAGCCAAAAAATAATGATAATATAATAAAATTAAAAAATCTTAGAACAAGCTAAGCTTTGAAACGTAAATATGTTTACATAACCGATTAATGGAAGAAATATTTCTTTGAATTAAAATTTATTCCACTTGAAAGGAGAGATTTCTACATTATTTGGAAAATACACCATCTAGGGGTCTTGATTGTAATAAAATAGACATGTAGAATAATTATGTAACTTTGGTTTTTGTTTATGATAACACTTTTTGAAGGTCGGCCTTGAGCACGACTCTCATCTCAAAATTTTTATCCGGAGTCTGTTGGATTTTGGTAAATTGGTCATTGTAGCCAGATTTGGGCAAAATCTAATTAATTCAATCATGATTAAGAATTTTGATTGAAGTTTAATCATGATTGAATTAGTTAGATTTTGCCCAACTCTGATCGGAAGTGCGCGATGCGACAAACATGTGATGGTGTTGGAAAGAGAGATGCAACCATTCTATTTTTTTAGCAATGCGAAACTAGTACTAGTACGATCTGCTGCCAGATAGACAACGTAGATGACATACACAGGGGAATAAAAAATTCTCTCCTGTAACTTGGCCTGGGGTTGTAATGTTTCCTCAATAGAAAATAATGTGAATAATTAAAATTTCGTTATATCCTAGAACTAGAGGTAAGTATTGCTAGGCAAAAACTCCAATAAACCATTGTGTATAATTATTCAGAAATCGTGAGATGCAGTCCGGTGTGATGTAGGTTTTAGAACCTTTCGTGGATACCTTAGATGTAGGTTGAACGTTTCGATCTTTTAAATTCACTAATTTTCGTGGTCCGCTTAACCAATTAATATCATTCAATTAATTAAGATTTTTAGTTGAGATATAAAGTCAGTGTCACGAGCGGGATTCGAACCCACGACCTTCGGCTTGATACGCCGCTACTCTACCACTTCAGCTATCATGAACTTCACAATCATAAGTCTTTATTGAGGTCATCTTCAGGGCCTGGGGTTTATAAACATTATTTAAATTTTACAAATACATGTAGGATGTGGAAAAAATTATGAATTTATTTATATTAAATTTTAGATTAAATAAATGAATTTATACAATGTTAGAAAATTTTAGATTCAAAGAAAAGATTATACAGTGCTAGAAAATTTTAGATTAAAAAATGAATTTATACGATATTTATTGAGATCATCTTCACGGCCTGGGATTTACAAATATTGTTTAAACTTAACAAATACATGTAGGATGTGGAAAAAAGTGAATTTATACAATGCAAACAAATATATTTTTTATATTCAATCAAAGTATTTCTACTCACTCAAAGTGTTTGTTTTCTGCGCAAGTGTGCCATTCTTGCGTGTCGTGTTGAGAGTGCCAGTGAAATAGTGATGTTTTATGTTTATGTACTTTGGAGTTTGAAGGGGTGGGGAAGGAAGTCCGTATATAAAGATATGTTTGTATAAGCAGTCGGCGTGTTTGAGGTGAAAAGAGCCGACGATGAGAAAAAGCGTTGGTAATGGTTCGGCCAGATTATCCTTTCAGGATTATATAGAAAGGGGATAAATAGGAAAAGGAAAGCTAAATTGTTGAAAAATTAAACTACGTAAAAATGTTTGTTTAGAAATTGTGAGATGCGGTCTGGTGTGATGTAGGTTTCAGAAAAACATTTTCTTTATCGTGCCAACGTTTCGATCTTTATTGAGATCATCTTCAGGGCCTGGGATTTACAAACATTGTTTATATAACAATTACATTTTGGATGTGGAAAAGTGAATTTATACAATGCAAAATATATTTTTTATATATTCAGTCAAAATATTTCTACTCACTCAAGTGTTTGTCTTCTGTGTAATTGTGCCATTCTTATGTGTCGTATTGAGAGTGCCAGTGAGATTTTGCTATTTTGTGTTTATATACGTTGGATTTTGAAGGGGTGGGGAAGAATGTCGGTATAGAAAAGACATTTTTGTATAAGGCGTCGGCTTCTTTGAGGTGAAAAGAGCCGACGAAGGGAAACATGTGTTGGTTCGGCCAGATTTATCCTTTCAGGATTATATAGACGGGGGTAAATAAGAAAAGGAAAGCTAAATTGTTGGGAAATTAGACTATGTGAAAAATATTAGATGTGTGGAATGTTTAATTTTGGAAAAAAGTGTTTGAATTATTTTATAATTTTTGAAAGCTATTTTGAAGTTATCTTATAAGTTATAAGAAGAGAGTAAAGCAACATATCTATGATTGCAAAAAACCCAAGCAAAATCTTACAGCACTCGCTACCCACCACTTTGAACACTAACACAATTTTGACTTCAAAAATCCAAAAGTATTACATACAGAACAAAACAAATATAAACGTAATTTCTTAGAAATGGTTTATATCAACAGAGCTACAATTACAGAACAGATACATGTAAATTCAGTCGCAGCTACGCCAATATCATTAATCAAATTCAATACAGATAACATACCTACATCATCACATTACATTTCAAATATTTTTCACATAGTCTAATGTCCCAACAATTTAGCTTTCCTTTTCCTATTTATCCCCTTTCTATATAATCCTAAAAGGATAATCTGGCCGAACTATTAACAACACATTTTTTCCCTTCGTCGGCTCTTTTCACCTCAAAAAAGCCGATGCCTTATACAAAAATGTCTTTTCTATACCGACTTCCTTCCCCACTCCTTCAAAATCCAACGCATATTAACATAAAACAGCAAAATCTCTCTGGCACTCTCGACACGACTCGCAAGAATGGCACAATTGCACAGAAGACAAACACTTTGAGTGAGTAGAAATACTTTGATTGAATTTATAAAAAATATATTTTACATTGTATAAATTCACTTTTCCACATCCAAAATGTAATGGTCATATTGTAATAGAAAAGGAATATCACAAAGGACTCACGATGTAAACCTGAAGTAGGCTTTTATTAACTTTGAAAACATGATACAGTTACACGATTAACTTTACATAATACTCTTTTGTATAAACAATTGCTTATGTCCTTTAGGAGGTTATCGGTATTAGAAAAAGCGGGCTATTTAAATCACCACATTTTCCCTCTGGAGTTTAAAAGAAGTACCTTATATGAACATGAACTATACGAATCAATTTACATAGTCCTTCAAATAAGCAGGGCGGTTTCTGATGCGTTGAGATTGCCTGGGTTCTTTTACTGAAGGGCTGCCCTCCTCCACCCCTACTGGGGGAGCAAATTCCAACAGTGCACCGTCAGATCCAGATCCATCCACAAGTCCTTGTGATTCAACCGCCAGGTGTGAAGTGTCCCTCCCATCGGCCACCACCGGTGTCACCACTTCCGGAGACTCTACATGAGAGGTATTCCCCGCAGGAGCCAGTTGCCTTAAAGAGACCGTTGATTCCACTCCATTGGGCCACCTAATCAGGGCATACTGAGGATTCGCTTCAATCAGTTCCACCTCCTCAACCTCCTTGTCGTACTTCCCTTTTCTGTTACACTTGGCCAGCACAGGGCCTGGTGCTAGCCATGATGGAAGGGCTTCACCATTAGCTGTCCGCCTAGGGTGCGAGAAAAGGCGTTCATGAGGGGTAGTGTTAATGGCGGTACACAATAGTGAGCGAATGGCATGCAATGACTCCTGCAGAACCTCCTCCCAGTCCTGCACAGGAAGACCCCGAGTTTTAAGAGCCAGGGTGATTGTTCTCCATAGCGTCCCATTTAAACGCTCAACCTGCCCATTCCCCTGAGGATTATAAGGGGTTGTTCGACTTGTAGCTACTCCATTGGAACACAGAAATGCTTTCACCTCCTGTGACATAAAGGAAGTCCCACGGTCAGTATGTATATACGCTGGTACCCCGAAGGTACAAAAAAGGTTCTTCAGGCACTCCACCACTGTGTCCGATGATATATCCCTGCAGGGGTAAGCAAATGGAAAGCGTGAGTACTCATCAATAATAGTAAGTAAATACCTATTTTTTGATTTTGATGGCAAAGGTCCTTTGAAGTCCATGTTGAGTCTCTCAAACGGAGAGGTAGCTTTTATTAGGGTCCCTTTGGTTCTCATAAATCTTGGTTTGACTTCTGCACATATCGAGCAATTCAGTCTTCGGACATCCTCCAGAGAATAAGGAAGGTTTTTGCTTCTTAACCAATGGTACATTCTAGTAATTCCAGGGTGGCACAACGACTTGTGCAGTTCATAGAGTTCCGTAACGCTGACAGCGTTGCAAATCCTAGAGAGAGCATCAGCCTTAACATTCTCTGCCCCTGGCCGATAAGTAATGTCGTAAGAAAAGGGTGCCAGTTCCAGACGCCAACGAGTAATCTTTTCATTTTTAATCTTGCTGGCTTGCTTCTTATTAAAGATAAATGATAATGCTTCTTGGTCCGTGATAAGATGGAAATGCTTTCCCAAAAGAAAAGAT